TCTTGCTTTTTATTGTTGTTTTCAATTTTTTACAACTTTATTGAAGTAAGATAAACTGTACACATTTAAGGATAATTTGTGACATGTATACAGCCTTGAAACCATCACCACATTCAGGATAATAAACATTTCTATCACTCCCTCCAAAAAGTTTCTTCTTGTTCCTTTGCAAACCTTACCTCTCTTCATTCCATCTCCAGGCAACCAATGACCTGCTTTCTATTACTATAAATTAGCTTGAATATCTTAGTTTTTGTATAAATTAAGTCACATAGTATCTCCCCTTATTTTTGCATGGCTCTTTTTACTCAGATAAATGACTTTGAGATTGATTCATGTTGAAGCATGTATTAATAATTTGTTCCTTTTATTTCATTCATGTGTTGACTGACATTTGGTTTAATGCTTGTCACACTTGAAAAAAGTTATCTCACTAAGGTAACTTGACTGCAGTGGAATGTAATATTTATTCCATTTGCTGAATTGTTCAATTTTTCCAAACTGCCCACCAAATAATAATTGGTTTTGTTGAAATTTCAATCTGTCCTCACATTAGTCTATTGACATTATGAGTAATTAGAATTCATTAAATAATAACATTTGTGATAAGTGTGTGAAATCTGAAGAGGAATTTTCTACTCAAATGACTAACCTTGTAATCAACTCTTTGTTCTGCTTCTGTAGACATGCTTGCTGCATAGGCCAAAGGGTAGGGTGACTTTGAAATCAACTAAAGACTCACCCTCCCCTTTGCTTGTTCTGTCTAGATAACAGATGTATCCCCTTTGCTTGTTCTCTGTAACTGCCCGTAGCCCATAGCAACTCCCATGCTCTATAACTGCCTGAGGACAAATTAACCAATCGGCTCGTGCCAACTATAACTGCATGGATAAGTCCTATAAAAGCAAGATTACCCCTGAGCTCAGGGCCAGATCTTTAGAGCGCTAGCTCTTCTGGGACTGCAGTGTAATAAATGTGAGTTCTCCAACTCTCCGAGTAGTGCTTGATTTTTTGCTGGTCTGATTTTTCTGCAACAAATCCACTGACATTCTTTATTAAAGAAAGATGTTTTTTGCTGAAAGAGTTTTAATCAGATTAAAAAATTCTGTTTCTAATTGTTTCAGTCATATAGGTAACAGAGATTTTATAGGTAACACACATTGTTTTAGACATTAAAATTGCTTAATGATTAAAACATTTCCAAACATTCTTTTAAAAATGTCTTCTCCATGCAAATCTTTTGAATATCAATTGCTTTTTCATTTACTAGTAAAATATCATCTTGAAGTTAAATATTTTGTATATGTTTTTCTGAAAATATTTGTTAAGTAGCAGATTATTTACTTTAATTTTCATTCCAGAAACTTAAAAAAAAAGAGCTTGTGTCTTTTTGTAAAAGAAAAATAAGCAATGTACCTTTAAATTAGCTTGACAGATCTCTTAAGTACTTGCCACAGAATGTCCAGAGAAATATTTTTATGTTATAAAAGATTTTTAAGGTGGTTTCTTATTTATCATTGTATATGCTATAATTTGAAGACCTTTTGAAAAACATAAAATTAACCACAGTAACATTAGTAACATCCTGTAGCACTTTATGAATATAAGATTTCAATTTGTGTGCTGAAAAGACTGACTAATGATACGATAATTTCAAATATGTAATTACCTCTGCAATTTTATCCACATTTTTTTAAAGAAAATAGTACTTAAATTGGTTGTATCAACAGTGAGTACATTCACACAGTTTTTCTGTAATTTTTTTTTTTTTGATAATATATCTTCTCCAGATCTTTCCTTTAATAACTCAGAGAAAGCTACTGCATTCTTAAAACAGAAGCTGGCAAATATCATAAACTGAGACATTGTTTTTAACTTGCAGCCAACTCTACAGCAAACCTCCTACACTGTGTAAGTGTTCTAATACTCATTTTGTTCAGATCTTTAGCAGTGTTGTCTATGAATCTTCCAACACTAATTAACAACAAAAGAAATGTTTCACTATGCTATATTCTTCTTATTTCAGTCATTTTTAAAAATCATGACATGACAGGAAAAGATACTCCCCCAGTAGTATGTAAATTTTGTTTTTGTTAAGTAGGACACCCAAAAGATGGTTCTAAACTTCATTTCTAAGTTTAGCATAATTTTGTAAATACTAAATTGAATTTTGCATGACTATAAACACTGGTGGAAAAATGATATTTTTTTAACCAAATTATTGTTAACTCTTATTAGAATATTGTTGATTTTTATGTATGAATGTGGCTGATGAAGTAGAAGTAGAACTGTCAGCTTTGCTGTTAGCTATTTACCACAGATCTAGAATTTCAACAGGGAGGAAATGTATATCTATTCATTGGCATCGTATTAAGTTAATAAAATAATAGATATGATGCTACATAGAAAAATGTGTAACATAAATACGAGGTCAAAAAACTAATCTATGAAAATTTATGTGCTTTATAATAACAACTAACTTAAAAGAGGAATAGACTATAGAAAAAATTAAAAAGCTCTACAAAGGTGTTAGGAATAAGAATATTTTGCTTTTTTCTTGCGACACTTTTCGTGTTATTTTTGTTTTATTGTTTAGAATTTTAAGGAGGCACTTTTGCATCATATTTTCCTATTTTCTTCTTACAGAAAGTTTTGAATCTGCATGAAAGTTAATTTACCTTCCATATACAAGTACACACTTTCTTGCACCATGACCAATACTGGATTTTATAATTCTTTTCAATCATTGCTCATTTGATCAGGAAGGAAATTATATTGTAATGTTTTCTTTTGCATTTCTGTGAATACCAGTAATGTGTTTATAGACTGTTTGGTTTCACCTTTTGTTAATTATCAGAGTATGAGAGACCTCCAACTATGCTGTACAAGATAGTTCTCACTTCATATCAGTGCCAGGTGTATGTTTTTATTTTCCGTAATATTTCCCTGGCATTTTTTGTGTTTATTTTTCAATCTATGCTTGTATTTTCTTTGCTGTCAAATTTGGATAACAGGTGGCATATAGTAGTTCCTAGATGCTTTACAAATAATTGTTAAATGAATGGATGAATGAATAAATGCCCTTTATACATTTTCTAATGGAGTATTTAGGTTTTGCTTATGAATCTGTAAAACTTTTTCTATATTAGAGATAAACTCTTTAGGCATATGTCACAAAATTTTTAAAAATCTGTCACATTATTTTTATTATTTATTTTAATTTGTTTGAGAAACAATGAAATTTAATGTAGTTATGTAGTCGAATGTGTTCTGTTTATGGTTTCTATATTTGGTGTTTTGCTGAGGAATTCTGTCCTTTCCCTCCAGTCCTTCCTTTCCTCTGTATTGTTGTGTGTGTGTTTTTGAGCACATGTAGCTTAGTGTAGCGGGGTGAGATGTAAGGACCTGACTTCTCTCCAACCTGGAGACTTCACTGTACCAGCACCACTTACTGGATCATTATCCCTTGATTTGAAATGTAGTCTCGATGATACATCAAGTATTTACATATATTTAAATCTGCTTCTGGGCTTTCTCTACTCTGCCATGGAACTAATCGTAGTAGTGGTTTTGATCTTCTTTAGTGTAGCTTTGTTGTATTTTTAATACTCAAATAAATCTCTCTTTCATTTCTCTATTTTTCTATTGAACTATTTTTACTTTTATCCTTTCCGATGAATTTGGGGAATGCTTTTTTCATGAAAATTTTCATGTAAATGGGAATAAATTCTGTGTGCCTTAGATATGTTTGAGCCTTCAGCAAAGATTACACCTTCTGCCCTATGCTTTTAGACTAGAGACCATCTCCTAGTACCACTCCCTAAGGAGAGTTTTAGGAAGCACTGCAGACTAGTTCTCTAATATATAACATATTCTATGGGCTCTTAGATTTTGTTTGTTTGGTTTTTAAACTTACGAACTTTCAGAGTTCTTTGAGGGGTTTTTAAGTTGAGATTTTAATTACATTTTCAGTAGCTGCTTGTTTTCATTTTTTATGGAGGATTTTGAAAATTCATTTCCATTTCTATTTTAAATAAGCTATAGATAATGGCTGAGCAAAAAGTACATTCACGAGGATGGTGTATGCTTTTGGAAAAGATCAAGGATGCCTGTTTTTCTCTGATACCTCTAACCGGATGCTTCTTGTACCCAAAATAGATCCCTGAGGCTGGTCCTGGATGAAGCCTTTAACGCTAAATGCAGTCATCCAGGAATAGTTAAAAAGGACATAATAAAACTGCTTGCTGGTTTATTGCTGTAGGCTTGCAGGAAAACTAGTCCTAATGTGCTCTGGGAAATTTCTTCTACAGCATGTTGTCTTGCCTCCACTTTTAAGATTTAATCCTAAAAAGTACAGGAGCATGCACTAGAAAAATGCTCTCCTATCTCTGGAATCATCTGACCAGGAAGAAGGGGCATAACCTTATGTCTATCAGTGTTCTAAGTGACTTTAAGGCAGCTTTATTCAAAGTCTTAACATATTTTGACCTTTCAAAACAAGAAACACCTGGTCAGTACATCTTTGGCAATAGGTCCCGTTAAATATGACGCAGGGGCTTCTTTTGTTATGATCGCTCTCTGACATAGAGATTGATAAATATGACGGCATAAATCTCACAAATGTGTCCACAGTTTTGTGCTATGTTGCTGCTACATGCCCCGAAACTCTGACATCCTGCAGACCCAAATCAGATGGGCCTGTTGTTTGTTGCTTTGATTTTTCACACTGACTGAGTGACCCAAAGCAATTTGCCATAAAGAGGTTTTTAAAAAGTCTTAAATAATCATCCTTTCCTGGTTTCTCTTCTACATAAAAACTCAAGAGACACAGCAATGACAGTATAAATAAATGAATCTAAACGTACTGCTTCAACAGTTAAAAACAACAGTTGCCTTGAAAACTAATCACATTCACTGAATGGAATAGTTTTTAGTAGGCTTCCGTATTATTATTATTTGTAGCTTTTAGAGCTTATTTGTCATCATTTCTTTCTTACAGACATAGCTGCTGATTTGCCTGAGCAGCCCATGGGGCACCTGCAGCAGCTTCCTGGGCTCGAAGGATTGTGGCTCAAAGGCAGCTAGTGGCCTGGCTTTACAGGTAAGGTTTTAAAAACAAATTAGTGCAAATGCTTGACTTTGTTTTTCGTTGTTTTTCTTTCCATTGAATTGTCTCTGATTTAATTTCTCTGCAGTGTACACCCTGGTTTGAACTACCTCTATTATCCAACTTAATCTGTGATTTGTTACAAAGTCTTGCCTCTGTTATGGTGGTCTAAACCAGGGGTCCCCAACCCGGGTGTCATGGACTGGTACCAGTCCATGGTCTGTTAGGAACTGGGCTGCACAGCAGGAGGCGAGCAAGCAAAGCTTCATCTATATTTGCAGCCGCTCCCCAGCACTAGCATCAAGGCCTCAGCTCCACCTCAGATCATCAGGCATTAGATTTTCATAGGAGCACCGGACCTTGGTGCCAAAAAAATTGGGTACCGCTGGTCTAAATAATCCAGCTCCAGAAATGAAACAGCACATTCTCCTGACTTCAGTTGAGGAACAAATGTTTGAGAGATTATCAAGTATAAGATAAAGAAAAAATCACTAAATTAAAAAAGTCAATATTGTTTTTAAAACTCACACTTTTAACAACTTAGTAAGTATATGAACATTTACTAACTGCCAATTATTTTCCAGGCACAATTTTTTTTAAAAAGCCAGGCAGAGATAATAAACAATTGAATTCATCCTCTCATCTCCAGTCATTTACACAATTTACTCCCTAGAGAACAGAAGAACTTTTTTATTATTTATTACAAATTTTTTCAAATACTTCATGAAAGAAGATGGATTATAAAATATTCTATACAAATGGTATTTGGCATTTTATGAATTCTTTTAAAACCCAAGTCAGTTCAAGTCACCCTTACACTAACATCCTTCGGGACATCCAATCCGATTCAGATCGAAAGCCAACAGTGAGCCATATGCCCGTTTTACCACAGCCCTTCTCTGAAACCAGCTCTCCTGCTACCTCTTCCACTCTTGGCTTTGGCCACACTGACCAGCTCCCTTTTCCTGGACCCCATCCAGGTGTGTTCTGCTGCCAAGTATTTGCACTCACAGTCCTTTTTGTCTAGAAAATTCTTCCTGCAGGTGTCCACATCATTTCTTCCCTCCCTTTTCAGAGAGGCCTCCTGAACCACTTTATTTAAAATCACGACCTTGGTATCGCCCCTTGACCCAGACACACACTGCCCAACACCCTCCCCTGCTTTATTTTTCATCATGGCCCTTATTGCTATTGAGTATGATAAGGTATTTATTTATTTACTTGTTCACTGATTGATTTTTCCACTGGAATATAAGCTCAGTAAGGGAAAGATTTCGTTTGTTTTCTTCACTGTAGTATCTTCAATGTCTACAACAGTGTCCAGCCATGGTCAACATTAAATTAATATTTAATTTTAATAGTTGTTAAAAAAAAAAGCAAAAAAGTAGAGGTAATGGCAAACCATACTGGGTGTTTTTCATGTTGATCTGATCTTTGTAAGTAGAAAGGAGAAGTTGATAGAACAAGAGTGAAGATGATATTTATACATTTAATTCATTAATTAGTTAATTAATTATTAATATATGCCCTGCCTAAATTCTAAAACTGATATTTAAACAAAGATATAAAATAGTACTAGAAATGGGAGGGCAACAATTATTTTGAACATGTTTTCTTAAACTTTTTTGCAACATTAATACCTTTTATGATGAAGGCTATAAGCCCTTTCTTTAGAATAATGCAAATAAATACATATGACACACACACACACAAATATTCCAAGGGTTTTATGGACCCTTACCAGTTCATTCATGGTGTAGGCAGTGGTCCCTAACCTTTTTGGCACCAGGGACCGGTGCTCCTATGAGAATCTAATGCCTGATGATCTGAGGTGGAGCCGAGGTGGTGATGCTAGCACAGGGGAGCAGCTGCAAATGCAGATGAGACTATGCTTGCTCGCCTCCTGCTGTGTGGCCCAATTTCTAACAGGCCAGGGACCCTGGTGCAGAGACACGGAGAAGTATAACATATGGCAAAGTTAATATAATTACTATGATTCAGCACTGAATTTTATCTGACAAGTTAAAAAAAAATTTAAATAAAAAGGGAAAGACGATGAATTCTTTAAGAAAAAGGAAGCAGTCAGGGAAAAGCGATATAGTTGTTACACACGTAGTCTGTGCATCATCTTATCCTAGGCTTTTAGAATACGTCCCATTTCACAGAATTCCCATAACACTCATTCGAGGAAGTTATTATTATCCACATTTTATATATAAGGGAAGAAAGAGCAGAAATGGAATTTGAATCCAGTTCTCTGTAATATCCAAAGGTTATGATCCTTTAAATTTTAAGTCAAAAATAAGTATACCAGTTTGTCAGTGAGGAAAACACATTGTGTAGGGGTGTGTGTGTGTGTGTGTGTGTGTGTGTGTGTGTGTGTGTGCATGCGCATGACACTAAACCCTAATAGATTAGAATTTTCTATGGGGTAGGAAAATAATGGCATTTTAAGTTTCCTCAGACCTCTTTTCACTGGGCAGATTATAGATATAAAACTTGGGGGGCTAAGAAGTTTTATGTAGCAATTAACTTTTGTGTACTTTGATGGTAGATGCTGTGTTTTTATTTCTGACACATTTTCTGCTATCTCAAACCATTCTGCTTTGTATATGGAAGCCACTCAGGAAATAGCGGGCATCTGACTGGTCATATTTAGGTCATTTTAGATGTCTCAGAATCTAGTATATGTTAAATAACCTAGACATCTCATTTATGTTTGGAAGGGGTCTTGAGAAATCCAAATGCATAGCCGCAATTCATAGCAGCCAGCATTTTAATAGCTAATGTTAATTGAGCACTTACTAAGCTCTAGGCTGTGTTTTAACTTCATGAATTATCTTTCAACATCCAAACCATCTGTCAACTGAGCCAAAATAGACCGGTCAGTTCTGTCAAATTTTATTCATATCAGCTCAATCAAAACCACCCAGTCAAAATGAAAATTGGATACAGTCTTAAATCTACTTCTTAGAGGCCAGAGTAGAACTCATTTATATACTGTAGTTTCAGCTATTTTTCTAAGGCTCCAGTTTAAAATGATTCAGATTATGGCGAGACAATGAAGTCACCCTCCCCTGCCAAGCTGTGCTGTCCTGTCAACTTCTTTCCTTCTAGGAGTTTGGCATCTCTTTAGGCAGATTGCTAATGATCAATCAAAAATAGAGCAACTGAGGGACGAGGCTCCAGGAGGCATCTGAAATAACAACAGCCTTTCATAAGCAAAACCTGACAGGTGGAGACTTGGCAATCCTACACTGAAAAGGGCAATTGTCATGTTGCATGGCTGATTTAAAAGGATCTTGGCATTTTGTTATCATATTAAGAGGAAACCATTAGTGAGAGTAACCTTTTAATATTAATGTAACTTACAAATCTAATTATTGCTGAAATTCAGCACTCTACACTGTAAAGACATTTGTCTAGATTTTTATTTAAAAAAAGAGATGGAGTTCAGTCATAAATGTATTCGAATTCATGAGATACTGGAGCTCTAGCACTCTAACTACCCACCCATGCTCTGTTTACATACTAAAATAGCAATTTAGGACGGGAGATGTCTTTTCAGTTTTACTGACTCCAGAGAGTTGTTGGGCAGGCTCAGTGCAAAGCTGTGTAGTTCGGGTCATTTTTGGCTATACCTGGTTTACCTAGCAAGCCTATATATTTCGGGTTGGCTTCATCTCAACAGATTTACCACTGGACCCACTCCTGCCTCACTAGAACAATCACAGGTGGAACTGTAGAGGACGCCCTGGTGCTGGGTTGAGGGGGGTGGTGGGAGGGGGCGAGATGAGGAAGGTGGAGCTAAATAAAGATGAATCTGCCAGTGACAGAAGGAGCAAGGACTAAGTGAAGAAAAAGACGACAGAGACGCTGGCATAACTGCGGAGCACATTCTTGGATAAAATATTCTAGCTTTTGAGTGAAGCAAGCTTCGGAATTATGTTGGCTTGTAGCACTGCTAGGAAGAGTTACAGTCTGAGAGTTATATTCTCTATAGCCAATACAATATTAGAAGAAAAGGTTTCACTTTTCTTTGGACATTTGTATCAAATTATAATTGTATGAGCAGAAAGTTTAGTTTTTAAGCATAAGGAAGAGTAAATTATAGTTTTTAAGATGCACCCAGGATTTTGTTCTTATTCTGAAAAAATACTTTATTACTCACAGTTCCCAAGAGGAAGGAGCCATGCCATGCCACGCAGGGACACACTAGAGAACACTGAGGTTGACCATAGGCAAAAAGAGCAAGGGGGGCTTTGGAAAAGCCTTTATTCTGGTTTTCCAGGGAAGGAATGGGTGAGGCTCAGTAAGCAGGCTAATCAGGTTTAGGATTCACTGGTTTGAATATAATTCCACGGGTAAGGAGTTGGGGGTGATACTGAGGTTGCTTCTAGTTGTCAGATACCCAGCCTCGAGGTAGTCAGGACTGGGGAGTAGTGTCTCACATTTTAAGAGCTGATAAAAGGGTGGGAGAGGTTAGGCTTTAGAATGGTTAGTTTGCATATGAAAGGCATGCTCTGGGAAGAGTCTTTTTGCTATCTCTAAAATCTGATAACCCAGAGAGGAGCAGCCCTACCCTAACCAGCAAGGTCCTAGTTATGGAAACATCAGATACAGAAAATGGAAAACTGTAGTTAGTACAGTTATGATCGGCCTTCACTGTTCTCTTTCTTTCTCTTTACACATGGAAAATAAGTGTACCAGGAAAATAAACACCACCAATCCTATCTCCTAAGGACCTCTTGGGTGTCTCTGCAAGGAGAAAGCCAATGTTGCCTGGTTGCACGACAGAAGAGTAACCAGTTCACTCTGATTTACTCAAATCAGAGTGGGCCTACTTGGTCTGGAGAGAATCTTGAGCCTCCATCTGGTGGGTACTATGGGTGATTCTTAGATGAGCGATCTTTGCTAATGGTTGGGCTCTTATGTGCTATAGGAACAATACGCCTTATAGATGTGGCTTTGGGACACTGCCATTTCCATCTGAA